TTATACAAAAATTAACTCCAAATGGGTCATAGATCTAAATGTAAAAATGCAAACTACAAAAATTTTAGAAGAAAATTTTCATGACCTGGGGTTAGGTAAAGAGTTCTTAGACTTGACACTAAAAGCACCATCCATAAAAATAAAAAATTGATCAATTTTTTATTTTTGACTCCATCAAAATTTAAAACCTTTGCTCTGGGAAAGACACTGTTAAGACAAGCTACAGACTAGGAGAAAATATTTGCAACTCATACATCCAAAAAAGGACTTATATTTAGAATATACAAAGAATACTCAAAATTTAACAATAAGAAAATAAACAACCATTACAAAAATGGGCAGAAGGCTTGAACAGACACTTTACCCAATAGACTATCCATATGGCAAATAAGCATATGAAAAGATGCCCAATATTATTAGTCATTAGGGAAATGGAAATTAAAACCACAATGAGATACCACTACATACCTACTAGAATGACTTGGAAACAAACAAACAAACCTGACAATATTAAGTGCTGATGAGGATACAGAGTAACTGGCTCTTCTATACATTGCTGGTGGGAATGTAAAATGATATAACTGATAGGGAATACAGTTTGGCTGTTTCTTACAAAGTTAAAGATACATTTAGGATATGACCCAGCAATCCCACTCCTAGATATTTACCCCAGAGAAATGAGTATTCATATTTACCCCAGAGAAATGAGTATTCACAGTCACACAAAAAGCTGTATGGGAATGTTTACAGCAGCTCTATTTATAAGGGGCCAAAACTGGAAATGACACCATGGGTGCTGTTCAGTTCAACGGGTGAATTGATAAACTGTATTTTGTCCACACAATGGAATACTACTCAGCAATAAAAAGGAGCTCTGTATTCACAGAACAACATGGAAGAATCTTAAATGCATTATGCTAAGTTAAAGAAGCCAGACTCAAAAGGCTATGTACTTTCTGATTCCATTTATATGAGATTGTGGAGAAGACAACCCTATAATGACGAAGAACAGATCAGCGTTGCCAGGGGCTGGGGTGGGTAGAGGGTGTGACTATAAAGGGCAGCATAATGCAGTTTTGGGGTGGTGGAACTGTTCTCTATCCTGACTGTGGTGGTGATCACATACAGAATAGAGTTCTATGGTTAAAATCATGGAAATGTACACCAAAAACACTTTTTCCATTAAACTATAAAAAGCAATGTATCAAATGGGAGCAGGCAACCAAAAGAATGAACCTCTAATGGTGGAATTTGGAACGCTGTGACATCTGATGACAAGGAGAGGCTCTGGATGGGGGGAAACCTTCTGACACACCATAGCACCCCACAGGTGAGGAGGAGGCTGAGAGCCATGGTTGGGGGAAGAGGGTGAGGCCTGGGGGTTTGTTAAATGTTCTCTCTTTCTTGTCTGCCCAGCAAGGCCGTCTCTCTTCCAGCGGGAAGGCCACAGAGGGGCCAGTAATGTTGAGAAGGGCTCCACTCGTGGGATCCCCACACGGCTCCTCCTCCCCTACTTCCCCATGACCACCTGCTCTCCACCAGCTGCTCAGAAAAGCTGCAAGGTGACTCAGGACAGATGTGCTGACAAGAGGGACATGTGTGAGAAGCCATGGAGGTCCGCAGAAGAGAGAATGAGACTGTCCGTCCCCACAAGTTCACTGCTCCAGACTCTTGCCGAAAGCAGCCTCCCACCACCCTGTAACACACATGCACGCATGCAGTCACACACGTCAAGATATGCACTCACATACACACCCCATCACACACACAATCACTCAAACATTCACACAGACAAAAAGATGTGCACACACACTCACAGACACTTACAAACACATGCACACACACACAAATACACACCCATCACGGTTCCCTTGGGCTGTCACCTAACGCAACGAAGTGAGCACATTCACTGGCAAACAGAGGAGCCCACACAGGCTGTAGGCTGCTGCCTCTACCCAGGGGTCCTTGGGTCCATTTCCTCTGTGGCAGGAAACAGTCCCCATCGGGACACTTAATCTCCACCTGCAGAGTCTCCACCAGCCCACAGGTCTTACTGCTGGATCCAAGAGCCCCGGGCTCATACTACGTTCAGATCAGGCAAACTCCAGGGACACCAAGTCACCTCAGGTCCTCCTGAGTCCAGTCGTGTGTCCACTCTGACTCCCCTGCCCTCGGCCCTCTCCTGGGTCCACAGCTCTTAACTCTGAAGGCTGGAGTTCCCCTGGGTCTCAGGCGCCTGCTTCATTAGAATCACTAGGGACCATTTTAAAAAACACATCAGCATCAGCCTGAGCCCCAACCCAGACCAAGTGAGTCAGAATCTCTGGGGTGAGGCCAGCATCACGATTTCTAGAAGCTCCCCAGGTGACCAGATGTGCAGCCAAGGTCTGCTCAGAGACTGCCCAGCCCCGTCCTGCTCAGACCAGCACCAGCATGACCACGCCACATTCATTCCACTGGGCCCCTACCTACCATGTGCTGGTCCCTGGGTAAAACCCCAGGTGTGCTCCCTGCCCCTGGGGCCCTGTAGTGGGGAAGACAGACAATAAACTCGAAACCTATCCAATAAACCATTACGAACGTCATCAGCCCTACGTCAGAGCCTTTCAGAAAACCATAAAAGAAAATCCAAGGGCCGGGAGGGGACGTGTTTAGAGAAGGGCTGGGAAGGACTCTGGGAAGGGGCGCTTATTTGAGCAGAGACCTGACAGATGAGAAGGCACAGGTAAAGAGTGTTCCTGAGGCTCCCCCAGGCAGGGGCTGAGGGAGAGATCCCCCAACCACACAGGACTGAGTGAAGGGCAGTTTCAAACCAATTTCTAGGGACAATCCTTTTTGCTGCCTTTCCCCTTCACAGAGCCCAAGGAGGCAGGTGCTTTTGCAGGCAAAGAAACCAAGGCGTAGAGGATACGGAATTTGAGAAAGCCAGGACGTGGCAGGGATTGGACCCAGATCTCCCAGGAATGGAGCCTGAGACAGCTCACTTCTCCGCCTCTGCAGCAGCCGCAAACATCTGAGAACTGCCAAGGGCTCCCGTACCTTGCAGGTAACCTGAGAGACAGCAATAGCCCCATAAAATCAGATAATGGCAGGGCAGGGCCCCCCAGCAGCGCCTTGCACACCCTGTCCGTCCCCGGCTGGGGAGCTGGCTTGGGGATGCCCTGTCTGTTTCTGGCCTCGGCTCTGGGCCTGATTTCTGCTTTGTTTTGTAATCTGCAAAGCCGGTGGGAGACCCCTTGCTCTGTTGAGTGGCTTCATTGTGGCCCCAGACCAGGCCTCTGCTGCCTGCTCACCACTTCTGCACGAACACCCACCATGTCTGCTCTGAACTGAGTTCTCCCTGCCTGGAATCCCTTCCTGCACCCCAGGGGCTTGTGGGAGGTCATGGACGTGCCAGCCTGGTTGAGGAATTCAGTCCGTGGGTGAGTGTCTGTGGGGAAGGGGAAAGGCTTGGAGAGAGACTAAATTGGAGTCACTTGGAGTCACTCCTTCCTGGCTGTGTGAACTTGACTAAGTGACAATCTCCCTGGGCCTCAGTTCCCTCATCCACAAAATGGGATGACAATAGTCCCCACCTCATAGGGCTGCTCCGAGAACTAAGAGCCTGGAAGATGCTTAGCAAAGAACCCAGCAGTCATCAGGCGCTCAGTAACACATGCAGGCTTTCCTTCAGCCTTCAGGTACTGTTACTGCTGTGGACGGTATTGTTGGGGGGGCGGCCCCCGCTCTGCACAGGCCACGCCCATCACAGAGGGCGGCGTCTCCGGCTTCCAGAGCGAGTCTGGCGGCTGCGGATGCTGCATTCCGCAATTCCAGGTTCACCTTCAGCAGATATATTTTTATCTGCATTCTTATCTTAATTTTAACCATCAATTCTTTTTTTTTTTTTTTTTTAAGATTTTTTTTATTTTATTTTTCCCCCCAAAGCCCCAGTGGATAGTTGTGTGTCGTAGCTGCACATCCTTCTAGTTGCTGTATGTGGGACTCGGCCTCAGGATGAACGGAGAAGTGGTGCCTCGATGCGCACCCGGGATCCGAACCCGGGCCACCAGCATCGCAGCGCGCGCACTTAACCACCAAGCCACAGGGCCGGCCCTTAACCATCAATTCTTATTGGTTAATATACAAGTGAATCTGGCCTAGTAAATAAATCCAGTGCGACTCCAACAGGCACAAAGGGCAAGGAGAGGCAAACTAGACAGCAAGCTGCCCGCATGTGTGGGAAGACATGCGTCCTAAACCTAAGGCCCCGCGGGCTCAGGGGGAGAGCGCTGCACAACCCCCGCCTCCTCTGCCTGCAAGCGCCGCACACCGCTAAGCAAGTCCTGCGCGCGTTCAAGAGCTGGCAGCCGTGTGGGCTGGCCCGGTGGCTTAGTGGTTAAGTGCGCGCGCTCCGCTGCCGGCGACCCGGGTTCGGATCCCGGGCGCGCACCCACGCACCGCTTGCGCGGCCTCAGCGCGTCCCACATCCAGCAACTAGAAGAATGTGCAGCTATGACATACAACTATCTACTGGGGCTTTGGGGGGAAAAGATAAAATGAATAAAATTTAAAAAAAAAAGAGTTGGTAGCGGTGAGAACGGTGTTTCAGTTCGAAATTTAAATGTTGGAGGTTGGAAGGAGGGAGCATTCTCCACTCCAATGGTGACCCGGAGCTTTTGGGGAGACCCAGGAAAGACCAACCAACGTCTCCTAAATTCCAGGGAAATCTTCCTCCAACCCACGATTCTCACGCGGAGCCCTGTCGCAGGGGACCGAGGCTTTCGCACGAACTGCTCGGCTGGACCAGCCCCGGTGCTCCCAGACGCCGGGCCGCGATGCCTCCGAGGTGACAGAAGGGGCGTCCTACACCTCTCTCTCTGAAAACTGAACCCCAGCCCGAGCCTGGCTCCAAGCGCCCAACCCAAGCCTGCCCGCGGAAGGTGGCCAGCCCCGGTCCTCCGGCCTTGGCGTTGCCTCCCCTGCCCGCCGGACAGGGGAGAGGCGGGAGGGACACTGACCTGGGAAGCCCGCGACTCGGGGCAGGCGAGGAGCAGCAGCAGGAGGAAAAGCGCGCTGGGACAGCGGGGCACCATCTTGCCAATCGGAACCTCTCTGTTTGGCAAGGGGAAATCACTTTGCCTTCCCCGCCGGGTTCGTCCCAGCCGATGCGCAGCCGCCCCGGCAGGGCGCAGGGCGCCGCCGGCCCCGAGCGGCTCCGGCGGGAGCCCCGGAGCGCAGCCCGGCCGCCTCGCTCGGGAGGCGCAGACTCGGGTCCAGGCGCGCCGCGCGCAGAGCCCGGAGCACCCGCGGCCACGAGCGTCCGCAGCCGCCCGCACGAGACGGTCCCGGCGAGGCGGGGAGGCGCCAGCCCCTTGGCCGAGGCCGAGGAGGAGGGGCTGCCCGGCCAGGAATGCGCCTGGGAGCGCGCCCAACCCGCGCGGCTCCCGGAGGAGGCCGGGCGCGACGCCGAGGACGAGCGCGGGCATCCTTAGGGCCCCGGCGGGGAAGCGCGGCCGGTGCCGCGCCCGCGTGCGGGAGACTGGGACGCCCCCTGGCCAGGGCCGCTCCTGACCGTCCCCTTTCCCAGCTGGGGAGACTGAGGCTGACACCCAGCAACAAGTGGCAGAGCGGCGATTCGAATCCGGGTCTGTCCTACTTCAAAGGCCACGCACGGACACCTTCCTCCGCGGCATCCAGCAGACACGACCAGCTGGCCGGAAGGTGGGCCTCGTAAACTTGACACGAGTTAGACTAAGTTCTCCATCCGACTAGACTAGGGTCCTTTTAAATAATGCTCTTGGGGTCCAAGAACACACACGCACGGTGACTAAGAATCTACAGTCCTCCTAATTTACAGTCCTCCACTCCCCAAACGGAAGGAGAAACTCAGTTTAAAATAGAGGCCGGGTTATCAGAACGTTGGGTACTTTGCCCAAGTCGGGTGGGAAATGCCGCTGGGAGGGCCAGACAGTAGCAGTCTGAAGTCCCCTGCGTCCAGGGGCCGTGGGAGGAACTGGATGGCTTCAACCCCGAGCTCCTGGAAAACATTATTTAAGTTCTTACTGGAAGAATGTTTTCAGAAGGCAACACAGCAGATGTCATGGTGCACACCAAGTCTGGCCAAGCCTCAAATCTATTTTTCCTTTTCCGCATTTTATTTAGCAGCGCCCTCAGAGCTCAAGGAGTGGAGCTCAGAAGATTGCAGCCTCTGAGCAGGAGCTGTTTTCCATTGGAAAGCAGAAAGGAAAGATGGAGTCCCCTGAAAAGCATGGGGCATGGTGCTAGCTGGCCACCTGAGCATTCCTTCCCCAGGAAATCCTACTGTGCGCTACCTCCACCTTCCTGCTGGAGGAAGTAGGGCAGGCCCATGAATCTTATTTTGCATTCCTGGTTAAACACCTTGAAGAGAGACCTGGGCAGAACCTTGCTTCTCCCTGTCCAGGTGGAAGGGGCCAGACAGCAGTGGCCCAGTCCCGGCAGCCTGTGGAAACTGTGGTTTTCTGCCTAAATCTCTCATGTGTTTGCTGTCTATGCCAAAGCCCAGTGTCCCCCTCTCTCTGTACTCTCCCCTGCTCCATGAAAGGAGTCGTTCTGGTGAGTGTGGCAGTGTTTAGTATGTATTTTATCCCACCTCTGTTTACATGACCACCTCCCCTGAAAGGCCAAGCCTCCCCAGCCCTGTTCTGGCCATGCGCTGGGAACCAGACATTGGCAGATGTAAGCAAGCCTTCTTTCTCTCCTTGTGCCCTCTATATGGGTTCATAGAGGCTGGAAGAGACTCCTGATTTCACAGAGGAAGCAACTGAAGCAGGGCATGGTTGAGTGTCTTGCCCAAGGGATGCAAACTCAGCTCTCAGGGCCCTCCCGGGGCGGTGCTGTTTCCAGGACAGCCTACCTTTGACCTCTCACCTTTCACTTAAATACACGATCATAGACTCTCAGAAATTTTATTTACAGGAATAGAGTTTCTTCTGGGTTGTTTTTTTGCTTTTCAACCGTTTCTAACTTTCAGCAGGCTTTTTTTTTTTTTCTTTTCTTTTCTTATTTGCTAATTTCCATTTGTTACCCTTGTCCTATGGCCGCCTTCCATTTAGCATTCTGGCATCTGGTCTGAATTAACCTTCTAAGGTCCCACTGCCCCAGCAGTACTGTCCCTTCTATCTGTCCTCAACTACCCTTGATCTGCAGTAATCGAGGCAGACCCTCCACAGCCCAGAACCTGTCAAGGCTAAAAGCAGACAGGCCATGAAAATAAGCCAAGTGCCCTATATTCAGGGCACTAAATTCCAAAATTTAACCTTTGACTTAATAAAATAGGCCTATCGGCTATATTGTTTCTTCTATATTTGGTTTTCAAGAGAATATTCTGGAGTGTTGGGGGATTGCTGGGTGGTTAAACATCTAAAGAAAATATTTTTAAAGTTTTTTGGCAGAATCAATTGCCATCTCCTGGGATCAGTGCTGATACACTCATGTTCCCTGTGTAATGTAGGAACGCAAAGCCAGACAGGAAGATCTGCTGCAGAAATCTGTTTAAGACCCGACCCGAAGCAGCACCCAGTCTGAAACAGTCATACCAGAGCTGTCCTGTACGGGCCTCTGGGTCCCTCACGGGCCCCACACCACGTTGCTTACCATTTGGGGTTTCATGGGCTTCTCTATGGCTGAATCTTGCCTGACGGCTCATTTGGAGCGCTTCTCTCCCTTTCCCTCCTTCACCCCACATCCTCTGTGATTCTCAACGTCATCAGCCCCCACTAAGCACCTACAAAGGGTCTCAGGAACAAAGGATAACAGGGCCTTGAGGAACAGGAGGGAGGGTGTTCTAGCAGAAGTGCATGACAGTCCAGTTCATTCATCACACAAATATTTATCCAGTGTGAGCTCCAGGCACGGCCCGTGTAAGGCGTTCCATCCTCCTTTCCCACTCCACTGAGAGCCCTAGCCAGCCACACCACACAGTCCTGTGCTGAGCTTTGAGGAGATTGTCTGCTTGAGTACGATGTCATGACAGCTAGAAGACACATTTACCCCTAGAAAACTGTTTCCAATTTTATAAAATTAAAACCTGTAGGAAAACACTTAATTCTGCCACGATTAAAGACCAAACACCAGTTAACATCTGCCGAAAGGAGGAGAACGTTGCGAATCTGTGAATGCCGTTCATGGTGAAGTCCAGATGCCCCTGGAAGGGCGCGGTGGTGGATGCAGTCAAGGACACACAGCCCTTGACATCAGACATGGCTGGGGCAAATCTTACCCCCAAATGCTGCCAGTGTGGCCTTGCAACTCTTCTAATCTTTGCAGGCCTATATAATCTTCACTAATATAATGGAAACAGTATTTATCTGAAGAGTTATTATAAAGTTTCAAAATAATGAAAATAAAGTGCCTAACAGTGCCTGGCACATAGTAGGTGCTTAGTTAAAGGGACGTTGCTTAGAGTGACTCGGATGGTCCTTCATCAGGGACAACATAAGAAGGGAACCAATGTTTCTTGAGCACCCGCCATAAGCCAGGCCTTCTGTTATGCACTTCGTGAGTGTTCTCATGTATTTCCTCACAACAACCCAGTGAAACGGGTACTGTTATTACCCCCATTTTGCAGATTGGGAAACTGAGGCTTAGAATGCTTCAGTAAGTTGCCAAGATGAAACATCAGGTTAGTAATTGGGAGAAACAGGATTTACACTTGGGTGTGTCTGATCCCGAGGAGCATGCCTTCTGCTGCACCACACTGCAGGAGAAACCAAACACAAGAAGTGGCTTGTTATCCTCCTTGGCCAATGTCTGATGTTTTCTAAGGCAGATATATCAACATTAGCTTCAGGAGTAATTTTTCAAGGATACATTTTTACTATAAACTGAGGTCACAACTATACTAGTTAGGCCTAATTATAATACGCTCCAAGGAATTGTCGAAGTTAGTTCCTGGGTCTAAAGTTTAATACTTAATATTGTCCTCAGTAGGCTGACTTTGCCAGGTGACTCTGCTTGCCCCTCCAGATGCGCTCTGCCCCCTTTCCCACCCTGCTCTCCTTCCTGGAGGCCAATCCTAGGGACTGCATCATTAGGCTTGGCTGCCCTCTGGCCTCTGGTTGGTTTTGGCCATTGGGGATGCCCAGTGGGAGATGAAATGGAGAAGGGTGAGGTCATAAGATTGAGTCAAGCTGGCTGTGTCCCTTAATAGAAGATCAGTGCTCTTGTCAAGGTGACCTGTTCTCCTCAACTCTCTGTCCTTTGAGATTCCCGCAGCCACTCTCCCTCTCCTCCTGCTAGGCCTAGAGATAGTAACAGCCCGGCATTAGCAGCCCTGAGATAGGGTACTCCCCTGTCCACACCCTGTCCATATCTTTGTAAACAAATCCTCTTCAAGTTATCCTAACTTGAGCAAGCCATCTCTCGGCTTTTGACTGATAGAGTGACCATCAGCAGTAGATTGAAAATGTCTTTTTGCCTCTAGAATTGTGGCTGTAATAGGAAATGAGGTGAAATACACACATGGTCGAGCTTGTGCGTGCACACACTCTGGGAGGAGGCACTGAGAGGATATTGACTACCCAATTTCCAATCTTCTCCCTTACTGACACAGTACGATTTTTGTTCAGAGCTATAATACACCCAGTTAAAAATACCCCCGACCACCACCTCCTCAGATTCCCTCGCAATTTAGAGTCCCTCAATTCAGACTCCCTTGGCTATATGACCTAGTTCTGGCTAATGAGATGTAAGTGAAGTCTACTGGGTGATATTTCCAGGAAAGACACTGTTTTCTTGACAAAAAGAAACAGACTCAATTGGTGTATGTCCTTCTTCCCCCTGCCTGGAGCATGGGATCCAATGCCTGGAGGTGTAGCAGCCATTCTATGACTGTGAGGACCAGAGTCAAGTGCTTAGGATGGAGGTTTTAGAAGAGAGAAGGTAGAGGGAGCTCACTTTCTTGATGATTTCCTTGAGCTGTGCCAGTCCTGGGCCATTTACCTCCAGACATCTCATTTACTATAAAACATAAACCCCTGTTTGGTTAAGCCACTGGTGGTTGGATTTCTGTTTCATGCAGTGGAATCCAAATCTATGAGCCCATGCTGATATAAATAAATAACTGAATAAATAAATAAAAGGAAGGGAAGGCAACAACTCTTCCTTATGGAAAAATTACAATCAACAAATGTAGAAAAAATGTGAAAAATAGAAAAATCACTATTAGAACACTACAGTAATAATTGCTGCAGGCAAGATCCACCAATGAATTCTAAAATTAGCAGAAACAGAATATTTGCATAGTTTCAAAGTATCTCCCCCCAAATATTTACAAATATTACAAAGGGAAAATATTAAATTTACAGTGGATCAATGAGGCATGTAGACATCAACATCATGTCCCCTCTCATGTGAGGCACAG